CTCTCTCTCTCTCTCTCTCTCTCTCTCTCTCTCTCTCTCTCTCTCTCTCTCTCTCTCTCTCTCTCTCTCTCTCTCTCTCTCTCTCCATCTCTCTTCCCTGCGTTTATCCCCTGCCACTTTACTCTGCCTCTTTCTTACAGCGTACAAGTGGGCCGTTATGGCACACGGGGAAGTGGGCAGCTCACACTCAACTTGATCACCGTGGCGAGCCTTGTATGTGAGAGGCATGGTGAAGGGGGAGTTAAAAGAAGAATGAGAAAAATGAATGAATGGTTTCAGTGTGCCCTTGTCTTGTTTTTTATTTAATTTTTATTTTTACCGTTTGTTCCGCAAAGTGCACTCTTTTAGTTCATAGATACGTGACAACATATATGCATATGTATATGGTTGTGCTATGTAGGATTGTGCATGAGTGGATAGAGGATCATCGAGCTTTCACTGGCTGGTGTAAGATCAACGTACCTTCCTTAGGTACCAAAAGAAGTCTGTCTTCTCCATTCCCATGTAGGCAACACCTGCTGCTGATCCAATGATGAGAATGGAACCACCAGTGCCAGCACAATAGGCGATGAGGTGCCACAGACGATCATCAGATGGGAACTCTGATAACCCGTACATCCCCATGGTTGCGGCGACCAGAGGAACATTGTCGATAACCGCTGAAGCGAGGCCGATCAGGGTCGCAACCAAGTCCAGGCTTGGGATGTTTGAGCTGAGGAAGGCTGCAAGCTCCCTCAGAAGTCCTGCAGACTCCAAACTTCTCAGAGACATAGAGCGAAACGGTGGGGAAAAGAAACAAACAAAACCGACAACAACGACATAAACATGTACACACACACACACACACAGACACACATGCAGCCCACGCACAAAAAAATCATACTCTTGGTTAGCTCATTACTTTTCAGCGTTTTCGCTCCTCCCAACTATGTTGTTTATATGCTCCTCTGTGTGTCTTCTGTGTTTCTTTGCCCGTGTTCTCCTTGATTGTCGAGTGAGTTGAGGACCTTCAGGATGTGCCAAATAGTCAGTTAGTGTTTTTTTTTGAAGTGCCTGTAACAATGCCTTTGTCGGTTTTTTGCCTAAGATCAAGTGTAGCATCTGTTCTGATCAGTTTAATATCTCGTCCGTGGTCCATCGGAGCACGTGACGATGAACTTTTTTTTTCCGGGGGTTCAGAGGGGTCGCATGGGTAAGCTTGTTTGCCCGACTCTTCCAGCGTTGCCTCTGTATTGCACTGCTGCAAAGAGCAGCGCGCCCCATTAAAAAAAAAAAAAAAAAAAAAGAAGTGCCTGTAACGGTGTAACACTATTAGGGGGCCTCTCTCATTCAGGATGCCTACGTGTCTGTGTTCCTCGTGGTGACGTATTTGCCAAACTGACTCCCCAACTCTTGATGGTGGAGTCAACCTACAATCTGTAGAGTCCCAGTTGTGGTGCGGGGTAGCGATAGTCCGCCTTGATCCGCACTGCAGGTATGGACTGCCTTTGTCGCTGCTGCCCTGCCCCTTGGCCTTGCTGCCCTCCTCCCTCGTCCTTGATAGATGATGATGGTTTGGAGGGTCATCCATTACGAAACGACTTTCCCTTAACCCGCCGGTACACGGCCCCAGCCTTGCAGAAAAAACAACTCGTCCCCACCGGACTGTAGCAATGGCTCTGCCAACTGGACCACAATGGCTGTCGGCGCCAGGCAAGAAAAGCTTGGCGCTCAGTAAGGCGCCTCCAAGCCCGTGTGTACTGGTGGTTTAAGTGGATGTGCAATGACTTGCTGGTTTCTGGTCGTCTATAGCCTCTCTCTTGTCGAGGCTGTACTATCTATAGGTTAGATTCGTTATTTTGTTTGGCTGAGGGCTAACCGAGAGACCTGCCTGTAAGGAAAACATGTGAGGGACATATCTGTAGATTCGGTAAAAAACAGGCCCGTACTAACTGAATTTCCTACAGCTACCCTAACTGCGAATAGCAGACCCGGGCTACCCCTAGGACAGACAGGCCCTAAGGGCCTAAGCTGATAGACGGTCCTATAGCCTATAGCCGGGTTGGGAGAGGCCCTAGAGGCCGAAACAGAAACGGTACCGGTCGGTCAGTGAGTCCGGTCTAGGTCGAGTCTAGGCTAGAGTAGACTATAGATAGGTTAGGCACATCGGTTCAGGGCTTTCGGCAGTTGGTACCGAGTACATCGCTGCTGTGCTACGCGTGAACCGGAAGTGGTGACGGCTCAGCGTGGAGAGAGACAGACATAGCCAGACCTTCGGAGCGCCGGCCACGGCTGGGACCTGCACTGTACTCTGTCAGCACGTGGGGCTGTACAGAGGTCTGGGCTACTTGAGGTCTGCTGGAGGCGAGAGAAGGTGGTGCCCTGCTGGACCCTCCTCCGGAGTAGGGTTACAGGGTTGTGGCGCTGCAGCCATAGCTGCAGCTTCTTCCTCAGAGGTCATCTTGTCAGGAGCGGTGGCGCTGCTGCAGACTTCCACCCGGGAAGTCTTCCGACACTTCGTCATCATCAGATACTGTGGCGCTGGTCTTCTTCTTCATCCTCTGAGTGGTGCTTGGCCTCAGAGGCCTGTTTCAGGGTGGCGCTTCCGTCTGGAGGCTGCACATGGGTGGCGCTTGATGTTTCAGGGTGGTGATAGCGGTTCATCAGGGTTGGGGAGTGAAGCGCTGCTCGTTTCTGAGCAGCGCACCATAGTACTGGGGTTATTCTGACAATTTGAGACTCTGAGTTTAATAAACAGTGTTGACACTGTGTCCAGACTATCATCATTTCATGGTTTCTTGGATGTGATCTCCTAGGCTTTCCTTTATGACTGGTTGTGAGGATTGAGTGGAGTGAATTGCACTTTCAGTGTACCCTGTCATACCGCATGGTCAAGTCGTCCGCTGTGCTTATCTCTCCCTGTGCGGTGTGATACTCCTATCCTCTCCCCTTCCTTCTGTGTATGTCTGGGCATACCTGGGAGTCTATGTGAGTGAGTGTTGGTCTTCAGACAACAGACAACCAGAATCATAGCAGACGCGTGGAAGTGAGATATGACGATCCAGAGAAATGTGTAATTTCTGAGCCTACTGAAATAAGTCGAGAATTTTGTGATTTCAAATTTTCAAGGTCCTTGCATCCCCGGGGATGGATAGAACCAGTGTTGCACACCCCGACGGTCAGCGGCCCTTGACTGGTCGGCTGCCGACCCGTCGAGCGGTCGGCTGGTCGGCACCTACCGGTCGGGGGTCGTCGGCAACCCGCAACAATTTTTATTTTTATTTATTTAAATTATTTTTTACTTTTTTTTTGGGTCCAGAACCCCTAATAACACCACCAACACCCCCATAGCGTCCCCCAATACCCCCATACACCCCCCCAACACCCCCAAACCGTCCCCAACACCCTCATTACCCCCCCCAATAACCCCTACACCCCTGCAATGACTTGCTGATTTGACTGTTGTGTTCTGTCTGCGAGGCTGTATCGTACAGCTAGGGTTAGATTAGCAAATTTTTGCAAAGGGGCGGAGCCCACTGTATCTAGCACCTGCCACGGACCCAGATAACGAGGCAACAACTTGGGAGAGATATCCTCCTCCCTCGACAACTCTGAACTGGATACCCAGACATGGTCGCCGGTACGAATGGGGGAAGGACACCGATGCCGGTTAGCTTGTTCAATCATCGCCTTTTGGGCTTTGAACAAGTTAGCACGTGCCCTACTCAGCAGTCCCAGGAGTCAGATCAGATCGCGGCTTATTGATGAGATCATCAAGAGGCTGTCGTGGTTCACGTCCCCAGTGTGTACTCTGTCTCCTCTCCCCTTCTCCTATGCGTGTATGGGCATGTATGAGATCGTTTGAGTGTGAGTGTTGATTGAAATCGACAGACAACCAAATTCATGACAGTTGGTATCGGAGCAGGATCGAAACTGACTAACTGAGGGTTGAGCACAATTGGGGCATCTTCTTCTTCTAACGAGATTCTGGAGAGAAGACTCATGACAATTCATCTTCAGTGTTGAATCGGGCGAGAAGAAGACTTGCAGGCGGTTATTACTGTGGCTCAGTGATTGGACAGATCAGGCGTTGCTATTTTAGGAGAGCGCCTGACTCAGGAGTGGCGAGTACAGAGAATTTCGCCAGATCCTGAAGGGGTAATAGAATTGCGATTTTGTTTAGAATGGCAAAATTCATCAGAGGGTGTTGAAGTACTGAGTGGCGAGAGCTTCAGAGGATTGCGCTGTGGTAGATTGGTCTACAGAGCCAATCAAACACTGAATTGGGCTACTCTCGCCCAATATCAGTGTCAGCGAATCAGGGGGTAAGTGGCGCTCTACTTTTGTCTACAATACAGAGTGCCATCTGACTAGATTCAGTGAATCTGGCACTCTGGGTGAAGCGCCTTAGTTCTCTCTACAAGATCAACAAGTTTCAAGAGCTTCTGTACGTGGAGTCCAGAGGAATGGTCTCTGAAAGAAAGTGGCGAGACGTGCAGATACTCTGCCATGGCCAGATCTTCACCTTCTTCTTCAATCTTCCTCTGAAGTGAGTATGTTCCGTGCAGAACTCAATGTGGCGAATTATTAAGGATTCTCAGAGTCAGAAATGATGGACTATCTGTCAGTGCAGATCTAAAAATAGATTGTCAGACTACATGACAGCCATAGCCATCTTCTTTCCCAAATCTCAGTTGCTCATAACTTTCAGTCTGTTTTCTCTTTTCTTTTCAAATTCTGTCTGGGACTGCTTGACACTATTGCGCTCGATAATGTATGTACAAATCGTTAATTTTGTACTGGAAAAGTAGTGATACTGAAGATTATAATTCTGCGCTGAGCCTACCTTCAGTCTGTGTTAGCTAGGGTTAGTGATAATTATAAATTTGTCCGTCAGAATTCCATTTTGTTAGTTGTTTGTGAAATGCAATTCTGTTGTTCACATCTGTGTGAAATCGCTAGCCCAGATTTCCAGTATTTGAGTCTGTACAGTGAAAACTGTAAATCGCCATACCCCTGGGTGTGGCTGCCATAGTCATCATTGGTTGAAATTGAGTCCGAGTCTGAGTGTTGAGCAATTCAGTAATCCGTGAAATCTTATTGGTCTCTAACTGTCTGCATTTAGCTATTCTATCTCTCCTACTGATTGTCGTTGTACTATATTGGGCACTGAAATTCTAGTGACCTCTATAGAACGAGCGAAAGTGTCCAGAACGGTCCAGGGTAAGTGAAATGGAAATCGAGTGATTGATTTTGCTGGACTGTGTCTAACTGACGCCTTGCCACCAGAGAAGGCTTCTAACCCCTGCCGCTTGTTGCCCATTCACCCACACTAACACAGTGTTAGAGAGGGTAGCGATTTCTGCGGTACTGCAGGGAAACAAAAAATTGTTACTGACTCTCTTGGTTTGTTCGACTAATTACTGTATTAACTGGAGCAATGTCTAATACAAGAACTGAAGCTGAGCCAAAGGCCGAGGAAGTGAAGCAAGAAGAGGGTGACTCTTCCCATCCACCTCCTCCTCTCTTGATTGAGATCCAGCGGAAAGTGAAGGCAGAGAGAGAGAGACTGCGTCAGCAGCAAGATATGATTTCAGCGCTTGAGAAACAGGAACTTGTAAAGATGGAGGCTTCCAAGGATGCGTCTCGCATGACATATCTCTTGGAGCAAATGGCCAGACATGAGACAGATGGTCGCACCTCAGAGGTGAATAAGTGCATTGTTGAGTGGATCCCTTTGGACCACAAGGCGACT